TACCCACCACAGAACTTACAGGGTCTTTTTATAGATGTCTTGTCTTTTTTAAGTACATTTATCATTCAGATGAGCTAGTGAAGAAGTAGATTTTGCAATCATTTTTGTACTTTTGAATAAATGATGGTAGTTTAGGTACTTGACAACATGACAAAGCTTGTTAATGGCCCTCAAGACCTCTGGGAGCCCCACAGGAGATCTCAGCACCAGCTCAGCAATCACTCAGAGTCCTCAGCAACAGAGCAGGGGGAAATTTTCAAAGTCGTGGATTTTTAAGGCATTAACTGTTCCACTTTTACAAAGTGTGGATTTGGCCTTTGCTCCTGGAAAGAGAAACAAGCACAACTTGATTTCATTGCTGTGCATATTCTCTGGGTAGAGTCGGAGATTCGAATTCTAGTTTCTCAGTGAGGCAGTATAGGCTAATGGTAGGAGCAGAGTCGGACCCAGCCTGGCTAGGGTTCAAATCTAAGCTCTTGTTTTTATTGGCTTTGTGATCTTGGGCCATGTTTTTAATCTTTCTACATCTCAAGTTCCTGATCTGTAAAATGGGCCCAGCATCATCGTCATCATCGTCACCATCATAGTCATCTTTAAAGGGCTTTTGTGAGGATTAAAAGAATCAATACACGTAAAGCATTTAAAACAGAGCATGCCCCACAGTGAGACGTGTAAGCATTGGCCTGTTTTTGCTATTCAGAGTGCCTGTTAGTACTGACTTCTTGAGTCACTTCTCTCTTTGGATATAAGTAAATTCATTGATAAAATATGAATGAAGACCTTTGGTCGATAAAACTGATAAGATGAGGAGATGAAATAAGAGACAGAGAAAATGATAAATGATAATGAAGTATTCTCCATAGACTAATGAGCCCTCCTATATTGTTCTATGGTGCAGATAATAGCCATTGCCAGAATTTTCTTCCGTTTTTTTTGTGTGTGTGAGACAGAGCCTCACGCTGAGTACCCTGAAACTCACTCCGAGTGCACAGCTAGAGTGCCACAGCATCAGCCTAGCTCACAGCCACCTCAAACTCTTGGGTTCAAGTGCTCCTCCTGCCTCTGCCTCTCAGGTAGCTGGGACTACAGGAGCCCACTATGATGCCCGGCTAATTTTTCTCTTTTTTAGTAGAAACAGGGTCTAGCTCTTGCTCAGGCTGGTCTTGAATTCCTAAGCTCAAGCGATCTTTCCACATTGGCCTCCCAGAGTTCTAGGATTTATAGGCATAAGCCACCATGCCCAGCCCATTATTAGTATTTTTTGAGTGCTTATAGTATACCAGACACCATGTCGATCCCCTTCCATGCATAATCCCATTTCATTCTTATATCAACTCTATTAAACATCTTCTGTCAATCCCCCTATGTGGTAGATGAAGAAAGCGGGAATTATACTTGTCCACAGCTGGCTTATGAGAAAAGCAGAAATTCAAGCCTAGGTTGGTCTGGCTATTGAGCCCAGCCTCTTAAAAATGTAACATTTCTGTCTCTGCTTCTCCGTCACATGTTTGTCAAAGGATAAACGTGTGTTTTTTATAAGGAACTGACCTGTTCATATAGATATTTTAAGTTATAGCATATTAACATTTTTTGTTTCACTCTTCTATTCTGAAAAGTAAAACCAAAAAGTTGTAAGG